CCCGAAATCCCTGCCCGCATTCTCGACACCGACGCTGTAGACATACCAGCCGATCCCAATAATCGTGCCCCAGAAGACAAGCTTGAAAGCGAGTGTGATCCAGAACATGACCACGCGGTAGGCATATCCAACAATCTTAATGGAGACGAAAAGTATGATGATGAGGATGAATACTGAGAACAGGTCTGGGATGGAGGAGGAGTAGGAGGCGAGGAAACTCGACAAGGGCTCGATTAGGTATGGTTGGAGCACCATTGTGCGTAGGTGCGAGAGTTTTGTTGTGAGGTGGTCCTGTGTTGTTGTTTGGAGATAGGTGAGTGCGGGATTTTGGAGGACTGTTTGGAGGTTCTCTGTGTCGGTGGTATGATTGGTTAGCTTGTGGGACTTTGCGTTGCGGTTTGTATACCTCTATGGCTGGAGAGTAGGTGGGGTAGATACCTGGTAGGAAGTCCATGGTCACTGTGTCTTTCAGTATATTTGTTAAAGTGGTCGACAAGAGAGAGAGACAGGGGCAGAGAAAGAGAGAGAGAGAGAGAGAGAGAGATGTCCCTCGCTTGTGAGATCGGTGGTTTTCTTTGGGCTCGCCGGCGGTTTGTTTGAGAAAATGAAGTCTTTGTGACCTTTGAAAATGACTATCTTCGAGGGATCTGCCGGTGCGAGGCAGGGAAAAAAAATACCCTGGTCTTTAATAGTCAGAGTGGGTTCTTTGACTCGAGAGCGCTTTGTTTGGTCTCGTGCCGGAGCTCGTTGTTTGTAGTTGAGCAATGCGACCAGGTCGAAGAGGGAGTCGCTAGACGTGTTAGGCGTCAGCTGAAGCGGAGACTAGGAGAGCTTGCTTCTGGGGATATATATTCCGATGCGATCAATGATAGGCAGGTCAAAAAGCGAATGTGACATGAAAGCTTGGGTTTCCAAGTTGCGGCGTGGCACCCGGATGATAAGAGGATGCAAACTAAACAAACATTACATGTGAAGAGATCCTCTAGTTAACTAACTAACTACTTGGATTCATGCCTCACTTATACCAGCTGCTCTAGATACTTTTCATGAACATCAGATTGATAATAAATGATACTATACAGTAGATTAGATATTTACCCAAATAAGGACGGTTTTTATATACAAGCGCGACCAAAAACAGCCCGCCACCAGTCCCGTGAATCTAAAAGACAAAACGCCCCAAGCCCAAGTCAGGGAGGAGGCCAGCGCGATCCCACAGGCATGACTTCATAAAAGAATCCAAAACAAAGTCCCGGTACTCCGGGCTAACTCCAAGATATTGTACTCTACCATCGCGAGCGATGGGAGCGCAGATGCAAATGCAGATATGGTATAGTAAGATATTAGAAAAGGACAAAGTGCGAGATTCGTCGAATTTATAGGGCGTTGATAAGCCCTCTGAGGGCCTCACGCTCAGCTTGGATCTCAGTCTGAAGTTGGCGGGTCTGGCGGAGAGCATCGTCTCTGTGGGATGAGTTAGTAAATGGGATGAAGATAAGGAATATCAACGAAACATGAATTGCATACCTGTCAGTTTGAAGCTGAGCCACATCGAGCTGTGTGCGGTTCATCCGTCCAACCACTTGCTCCATCTCCATATCCGCATTACGGAGGAGCTTCTCGAGATCTTTGACTCGTCGCTCGAGGATTTCGGACTTGACAACCTCGGTCAAGGGTACACCCTCACCGCTTGTGGTCTGATCAAGACGCGGTGAGCGGGAATCGAATGGTGCGTTCGGCGGCCGCGGCGAGAGACCGACTAGATTGCGACCGCCATTCACCATACGCGTAAGCTGGGCATGCTGGCTTTCCTTCAGCAAACGAATCTCGTCCTCGTGCTTGGCCATCTCTTCTTCCGAATGGTTTTGCGCAACCAAAAGATCTTCCTCTAGCTCCCTCATGTGGTTCTGCAGGATATTAATCCGTTCAACTGAGATCTGTTGATCTTTGTCTCCCTTATCAATGGCTGTTGCTAGACGGGCATGCACAGAGGAGTTGGTCTGAAGCTGGTAATGAACTTTGCTACCCAGTGCCTCAGCACGTACAAGGGAGGAAGCAAGCTCTTCTGAGTCCGCAACTTCCGTCTCAGCCTCAGCTTGATCCGCCTGCAGTTGCTGGAATGCAGATTGCAGGGAAGAGGATGTGGTCACGACCTCAGCAAAGCCTTCTTGGCCGGTCATCAACTCTGCACCAGCGGCAGTGTCCTCGAGAAGAAGCGCGCGTAGAGAGCTGGTCTCCTGCTCCGCACGGTCCAAATCCATCTTGAGACCAGCGAGGTTCTTCTCGCACTGCCACTTGCCATCCAGGGCATCCTCAGCGCGCATGCGGAGATGGTTTACTTCGTCACGCAGGTTCCGCACATCTCTCTCATAGCCCAGTTTCCGTGGCTGACCCGATTGCTGGGCCTGAGCAAGCTCCATTTCGAGCATACGAGTGCGCCTCTCGTACTCGCGGGCCTGATATGCTTGGCGGTCGAGGAGACTCCGCAATGTCCGGTGGAGGGCATCACGTTGAACCTCAATATCGTGGACCTTATCAACCAATGATTCACGCGTTTCTGGTGATTTACCACCGTTGTTATTATTGACCGAGTTCGACCGAGAAAGTGAACCCGAGCGAGCTAAGCCGGTGGGCTTGCGTGCAATGGAGCTCGATCGTGATACCCCAAATGCCGAGTTTCTGGGTGAGCTACCTTCCTCGGCGATGGAAGCGAATCGACCACCCTGTAGCTGAGCCAAAGAGGCATTTTCGATTTTCAAAGCTTCAATTTCCTCGACGAGCCTGTTGTCATCTCGAAGTTGATCACGATCATTCCGCAGTTGTTCCAACTCTACTCGCATGGCGGTAAGTAGGTCCTCGAAGTTATCCTTGGATTGCCGCTCTTCGAGCAGCTTCCGCTTGGTATTTTCCAGGGCAGTCTCGAGTTCCTTAGTTTTCGACGACAGATCGGACAAGTCCGTTCTCTCGCGTCGAAGCTAGATAAATGTTAGCAGTAATCGTATGTTGCGCATAGTTTGCCAGCCGTACCTGTTGAACTTGAGATTCCAGAATTTGAACATGCGACTCTGATGCCAACCGTTGAGACCGCTCGTCCTGTAACTTCTGCGATAATTCGACCTTGAGCTGTGCCCGTTCTTGCTCTGCAGCACGGCGAATCTTTTCGATATCTTCGCTCTTCCCAGCATCTGAGGCATAGCGAACAGAGCTAGTGCCCGAATCCGAGAAATAGTCACTTGTCCGTCGATTGACGTCCGGACCTTCTAATTGTAGCCGTTCGACTAGATCCTCCAAATCCATTTCTCGGCGGATAGATCCCGCCAATTCAGAGCTTATCTCTCGTAATTCATTCTCTATGTCTGCCATCTTCGACATAAATATATTTTCCTTTAAACTCGAAGCCCCCATTGAAGGGGTCCGCGGGGGAAGACCATATCCATTTGTCTTGGAATCGTATGGAGACCCAGGTTTGAAAGGGACGTTTGCTAATGGTGGCATGGGGGAAGGCATTGCTGATCGACCGGAGTCGGAGATCTCGGTGCTTGATGATTCGCCTCCAGGGGATGTAGCTGTATTATTATTCGCCGCCTTCCAGCCGAAGAAGGAGCTGATCTTGCTACCAGGGGGTTTGGGGTGTCTTGGATCTCCCGCACCCATTGACATTGATATAGAACGCGGATCCACGTCTATGTGTAGTGGAGGTGGTCTGTTCATAGGTGCATGTACTGCCATGCTCGTTGCCCGTCGTGAGGATCGTTTCGTTGGAGGAGGGGATTTGAGGACCGGGATGAATGGTTCGCTATCTAGACGACTGTGCAGGGGCGTTCCATTCATGAACTGGTACTGATGTTCGTATTCTTCGTCAAAGTAGGAGGGACCCTCGTCTTCGTCGTCGTCGTCGTCCTCAAGCACAGATCTCAAGTATGAGGCGGAGCCGTGGCGGGAAGCGGCGGTATCGATGTGTAGGGGTTTGGTAGGGTTCCGTCCTCGGGAATATCTGGGGAGTTGGGACAGGGGCACGCGATTAGCCTTCCAGACTGTGGAGAAGCGGAATATCATGTATAGGCCATATCATGCTTGGTCGGTACAAAGTAGGTAGCCGGGGAGAGAAAAGGAGGGTCTGCAGAAAGATCCGGGAGAGGAAAAACCGGGGTCATGCTAGTCGCGTACCTATTTGGGTTCTTTTGTACCGATATATATGAGTCTCCATCCACTGATAAAGGGGATAGTGGTCTGGCCACGGGTGCGGTGAGAACTGAGGTGGGTTTATCTCCCTCAAAGGAAATGGGAGAGGAGGGGTGGTCAGGGCCCGAAGTCACTGGATCACCATTGTGCGGGAGAGGTTTCCTTCGCACTTGAGGAGTAGTATCTGGGGCGGGAATAAAACTAGAGTAGCTCTCTGAATGGGCGGGAGAGCCGCCAAACCCAACAGGAGACGCCATGAAACACCCTGGTCCGTATCAAAAAATAGCCATAGATCGACGGTCGTTCATGCCGATTAGCACGGGAAAGGGTATGGCACGCGCCAGTGAGACGACCAAAAGGGTAAGGATTAATATCAGGAGAATATCAAACGAGAAGGGAAATGGGAGAAAAGGAGAAAGTCTTGGTACAGGACAAGCCGGGGCGATTGGCGCAAACCGCCCGTGGGTTCCCCATTTCATTAGCGCTGGCTTCGGGACGAGTAAGCGTGGGTGGAGCGCAGGGGGGATGCTGGCGTGGGTCTGGACTTGCATGGATTCAATTGGTACGATACATCGTACAATGGTGCTCTGGCCGGTAGGATCGACATCACTTGAACCTAGTACTTTTGAAGTGTGGTGATAGGATTGACGTCCTCATTGATAGTCCGGACTCCGTAAGATGTTCTATACTGTGTCAATACACGGAATTACCCTGTATATTGTACGGAGTATATGGAGTATATGGTGACGTGGTTCAAAATATGAAAATAGAACATTCAATAGTGTCAAGTGGCACAAAGAACCCCTTGAGTCGTGGAGATGAAGAGGTTGGCCCGGGCTAATGCTTGGCAATTCAGGGGTAGCCGCCTTGTCGTATCGTACCGAATATATGTACCTTTTTGTACTTTTCGGTAACTTAACTTATATATCAATACTGAAAAGTACTTTCAAGTACTTGATGTCTACTTTTGTATTTGACCTTGACGGAGTCAACATAAACTATTATACAACATATAACTATTTTATACAGTTTTTGTATAACTTCAACTACTCCATATGGAGATTCGAATTTAGTACGGAGTATACATGTACATATTTAATTGTCTGCAGTAGATTAAGGGGTCCTCGAAAAAAAGGGAAAAAGAAAAATATATTATTTCCTACTGTGGACATGTCGCCCCTTTTCCCCTTTAGGAACTCTGTCTCTAGTCCAAGCTTCTCAATTTTGTGAAAAAGCCAAAGTTATTCCCTGGCAGAAGAACGTGCTGAATCCAATACTACATACCCGCTAACCACTGAGCCGTGTCCAATTAAAGTGAGACGTCGATCGACACAGCGTCTCGCCAGACACTCGGACCAGCGCGTGGACCGGCATGTGTTGCTTCAACAGGCTAAGCGCCTAGGTGTTAAAGAACCCGTTCCTGCATCGTGTTACATTTGGAAGTTGACCAATATGATTGTGGTTTATGCTCCGTACTCCGTACAGTCCACTGATGTGACCTACAACATCCAGAGTTGAATCCCAAGTTGCCGCTGAAGACCCCACCTAAAAAGACATTACTTGCTGCATTTCATATGGATTATTGTCGCGCTTGGAACTGATTGGACAATCATGTGCTCCTTGCTCCAGCTCAGAACTCAAGGATTCAACTCTAAGTTGTACGTCCATGTCCATGTATACTTTTCAATCTCCTGTGGCATGAAGAAAAGGCTCAGCACTAATTAACTAATCATCACACTACTCCTAGTTAAGGCTAATTTATAAAATTATTGTGTCATCAACCCCTTATCGATCTACAAATAGAAGGGTTTTACGGAGGTCTGAGTACTCCGTACACGGGGCATTTATGCGTCTTCTGGGACTCGCGGCGTGTTATCCCTTTGGAGACAATTGTTTCACTGGTCGTACGGAGTACAATAATATAGTTATATAGTAAATTAGCTTGGATGTTACCCGGCAACGGTGATACAAAAATAGCCATACGAGGTGGCTTGATCTATTGTGTGAAATTATTGTTCTAAAATGCGTAGGGCTGGTCCATCAGGGTCCACCCTAGCTGTCGCTGACAGAGTTGATAACTGTCAGTGTTATGTACGGAGTAGTACAGAGTATTATATCGCTTTTGTTGTTTAATCTTTAGGGATGAATTGGGAATATTTTGGGTTACTGTGTCCAAAGCACATGCACTTAACTCTTAATTTAACCTGTACTCCGTATGGAGGAGTTCAATATACAACAATGTTGTAGCTGTCTCAGTCCACCTGCATGTCAATAAAGAAAAGGTGGCTTATGCATCCCCGTTTGCTCCACTCCTTCTGTGTAGTCTAGACGATGTCTCACACTTGATCTTGTCTCACATTCAAAGACTTGATAACATAACTTGCGCCCGTTCAGCGATCAATGATCTTCTGGCTTTGTTTAAATCCCAGCCACCGCCGTTCTATCATTAGAAGCAGTTGAAATGCATCGAGCGGCTAGATGTCTCGATGCTGCATCTACGCTGTTTCAGGGGCCCTTGCTGTTTATACTTTGTTGCAATAAAACAGTTATGCTGGCATACACACCCTAGGCATCATGCTCAAATCCCGACTTTTGTAAGGTATGGCGGTGAGCATAGGAGCAGGGATTCGGTATACTTTTCCTTTGATCCCTAATCCAAACGCACCTCAAATCTACAGATTTACTCCGTGCCATCTTTCAAGCCTCAAACCTCGTCTAGGGGAGGCAAATCATTCGAAAAGGGTTATACTACATGTGAACCTACGACAAACAAAGACCATACGATTGTCTTCTTAGCTACCTCAACCCTTTCCTATGGGATGCCTAAATAGTCTCGTCCGTCCGTTCTAATATGATTCTGGGAGATTCAGATGAGGAGAACTCAAACTTCCAATGATTGTGGTCAAAAATAATAAACCAGCCTTTGTTGTTCCTTCCCAACCTGCCTATAATTGTAGCCTAATGAGCCAGTTGAAATCATCCGGACGGTGCGACGTCCCCACCAGCGAGTATAATCCCCCCTCTCTCTCGTCGTCCCCCTTCACATATTCACATCCTAGACCTAGATCGGCTCCACTGTAACCAATGTGCCTCTTTCGACTCAGCGATGTAAGCGCATGATGCGGATAACCCTAAGAATTTCAGCATTAGACTAAATAAACCATACGGGTTGTTGAATCAGAATTCTCATTCATATATTTCAATATTTCAAGGCTTCAAACCGAAAGAGTATAGAAAGAACCAAGGAAAATTGGTGTGCAGACAAGAAAAGAGTCCCCTTCATATTAGAATAAAACCCCGATGTTATTAGTTACTATTCCAATTGGGGTTATACCCTCGCGCAGTCCCAAAGACATTGCGTATTTCATAATGTCCATTTGTGCTTTCATAGAAGGTAAATCCGGCCATACACCCAAGGATAACATGGAAGAAACCGGTGATAACACCATATACAGCCCCAGCGGCAGCAGCAACATTGTAAGGGCAGATATCGTAGCCTACAAGTCCGCATTTCAAGCATTAGTCAGATCATACCTCAACAAATGCAGCAGGAATAGCGAAGAGAGTGGCCCCTAATTCCATGACAAAGGAGAGACAACAACTAACCTCCGTTATGTGCCATACGAGCAAAGACGTATCCCCCAAGGCATCGAAGCCCATAATACAAAGTTGTGTCTGAGGTTTACTACCATATAACCCCCCCGCCGCTGAGACACAAACCAAGATTAGCAATAAAGAGCTGCAAGCGAAGAAAAAATGGACTTACATTCATATAGCCCAATGCATTCTCCTGCAAGCGGAATAGCAGCGACAACAGCCGCAATAAGCAATGCGCTTGGTGCTATATACCGTTAGCCACGGTCACCAGATACCTCATAATCATAACCACCAACTCAAGTCGCATAACATAGAGCTCAAGCCGAACAATACTTCAGAGGACGGGCTTTCACTCACTTTCTCCAAGAACCAAATTGCTAACTTCCGCCGTGACCAGGACACAAATCCCAAAGCCACTTGCCACCAGAACTAACAATATCCACGCGGGAGTTGGCAAGCCCGCGAACCCTGCGAATTCAACGAACGCCAACACCCCTGATTTAGTGACTCCGGCGAGAGCGCCGATTTGCATCGCTCTCGCTGTCAGTGGGCTCCCATTGACATGCGCAGCAGTCGCCACTGCGGCTGGACCAGCGGCGGCATTTACTGCGACATCCAACGCAGCCAGGGCGAAGAACGTCCATACTAGAGTAACTAAGTATTGGGTTGAAGCATGATAAAATCGGAAGGAGGAATTCATCCCGATTTGCTTAGGGTTAATGGACAGGAAAATCGGGACTTACTGTTGATAGCAGGACGGTTGACATTGTTCATATCCATGGTGAGAATTGTTAGCAACAACCAGCTCGATTCGTGGACTGTAATAGAAGTGGTAGCAATTCACAAGGTCAGAATTTATGCCTGGCACTGAGAATGAGAGTGGATGTCTTATAAGACAATCGGATTTATTAGCCAGGACTTGATAGATAGACCAGCTCCCCGTTTCTCGCTGCCAAAAGCCTCGTGGGGTCATACGGATGACGCTGGGAGAGGCTGAAAAGGCTCAAGGCACTATTTTTCACTAAAACGGGGTCAATCACGAAGCAGTAAACGAAGGACTGCAGTGGTTTGGCTATATAGTTCCCGATTGACCAATCATGGAGCTCATTTACCGAGACTTCGTCCCTGGCCTTGCCTAACCAGCCCTAATTCGGCCTTAGCGGTTCCTGCAGTAAGCATCGTTGGGGCGCCACATGGGGTATCCTGAGGCGACCCAATACCAGTGCGATCAAGGTCATCTTGGCAGACTCAGCCGCCTTTTTGCTTTACACAACTCTGAAGAATTTTTGACTGGTAATCGCAGCGTGTCGTGGCGCAATGCTCCTGCTTAGCCGCCTCCGTGCCCGGGCATATGCCTTTTTTCCTTTTCTCCTTTCCTTTGCCTTTTTCGTCATGCGAACCGAGAGAGCCCCATCGAGGACTGTAAAAGCTATGGATACTTGAACCGAGACTAAGATATAGAGCGTCTCACCCCTCCACGCAGGCCACTGTAGCATATCGCCTGGAAAGTCGTTGCAACGATCATTGTGCCGGACAGGATGAACCCAACAGCCTGTATCATTGAGGCTAACCCCGACGTATCTGGGGTCGGAGTAAGTATCGTCTCATATGCCATAATTTTCATTCTATCTCAATTTAGCTCCCTACCTTGAAAAAAAAAAAAAACCCCCAGCTAAGCTATCACACATAGATCCGTATATCGATCTACACCCTCTGCCTAGGCGGGTCAATCACCAGATATCTACTCCGCGTATTTGCCCCAGGCGAAGACCAGGAAGAGTTCTCGCGTGGCGTCTCCTCCGCCCTCGGCTTGCAAGGCCTAGCCCTCCTCTGCACAGCAATCTACCAGACAGTTCGTGGCGACCTAACGCTTTTCCACGCGATATGCGTTGTGCACCTTCTCGCCATACTTGGCATGAAGATGGTAAGTAAAGGCCGGTATGCGGGACTCGGTCCATGGCGACTGTATTTCTTCTCCGCAATCCAGCTCCTGGCTTTGGCGGCTTTCCTAGCTTTGAACGTTTATGTCTGGGTGAAGGCGCCGAAATTTGGCAGCCAGCCTCAGTGCAACAAGGATACGGTGTATGTGGTCTTTGGCGTCAGCATCAAAGCTACTTCTCCTGTATTCCGGTATATCATTCTGGGGACGTTGGGTACAGTTGTGGCAGGTTGTGCTCTGACTTTCACGTGTATGTTACCGTGCCTGTGTGGGTACGTTGTGCACCGGAGGCGGCATCCCAACGCTGGAAACAGGATTGAGGGTCAGAAAAGGGGTTGGATGAATTGGTTTGTGGAGGTTAATCATCCTGTTTACCAAGATCGTCCTGAGCCACCCGAGAGGTTGCACGGCAAGGCGCTGCTCAACCTCACGCTGAACACAGTCGCGTACTGTTCGTTCTGCATATACTTGATTGTTTCGCTTGAACAGACTATCCATCGCAATAACCTCGACCCTGAAGAGAAAGGATGGACATTTGGACAGGTTATTGCGATTTTCTTGTTGTTGGGTGTCGCCAATGAACTGCTTAACGTCCTTCTTGCGAGTTGGGATAGAAAGCAGGCCGAAAGTTCTCAGCAGTTGGTGCAGTTTAGGCCGGGCACTGGGAACTCGGTGCATTCCTCATCTTCCTGATATCTTTATGTATAGCAAAATGAGAGTGTGTGGAACACCCTGCAGAGAGGCGCTCATAGTAATGCTGATGTCCGAAATAATCAGGAAGACACGTTTGATAATACGAGTATTCCTTGGAAACTGTCGCGAGCTCCGCCTGCAAGTCTCATTTTCCGAAGTCAAAGTGACGTTAGCCCCGGGTAGGTATGACTGCTCCGCTTAAATGGGAAGGTGCGCCATGATGCAGGAGCCAATTCGTTTCAAGGTTGCATGACATCGATTAATTTGTACAGGACAGGATATATATTCTATTTACAAACCCGAGAGGTGTAAGTCTAAGCATGAAAGATTTAAGCCAAGAAGCGTCCCGCTGGTGGCTCACTAGATGGTAGGTAAACATCCAACCAGTTCGCCCTCATTTCATAGTACTATCAACCAGCTCGCGGTAGATCTTCTTGAGATCAGCGATATCAGCATTGAGTTCGTCAACCTGCTCGCTCTTCTCGCCTAGCATCTCAAGAGTGGTTTGGTAGCGCTGGTCAAGGTCTTCGAGTTCAGCTTCGAGTTCCTGCACGCGGGAATCCGAGAGCTGCTTCTCTTCGAGCTCACGCATAAGGTCCACAACTTGTTGCCGGGCTTCGTCGCGTTGAGTCGTCACGCGGACTAGCTCGTCCTTCGAGCCAGCGCGCTCGCTCTCTAGCCGGCGGACGGTGGCACTCATGCGCTCGACTAGCTGCACAGAAGGGCCGGCACCGACGGTTGACTCGGAGATTATGTCGTTGATACCGCGCGATGGAGGTGCTTGGGTACCGCCGTATGCTGAAGGAGTGGCAGGAGTACAAGAATCTTCGAAGTACTCTTCCGGCTCAAAGCTGATGGAGGGTGCTGCAAGGATCGATGGATTGGTGTTGATGTGCGGGGGGGAAAGCGTGGCTTGGGTGATTGAGGCAGGGTAGGAATTTTGCCGAGGTGGCGTGCCAATTTCCGGTGAGGTGAAAGCCATAGTAGATGAGCGCCGGCTAGGAGGGCGGAAGTCCGATAGCCCTGGTGTCATGGCGTCGAGGGTGCTCGATCGCCGTAGAGATGCAACGGGTGATACTCCACGCAGTTGTGACGGGGAATTCACCTGCTCTCTCCACTTGGCCCGCTCTTCCTCGAGCTTTTGCGCCCACGTTGCGTCGCATGTTTTCTTCTGCTCGGCCATATCCCTTTGCGTCGAGGCGAGATCCTCTGCCGCTTTCTCGAGTTTTTGTTGCAGCTTCTGCAGCTCTTCCATGCGTTCCTCGAGCCTGCTGTCCAAATCGTGCTCAGCTTCTTTAGAATTGTCTAGTTCCTCTTCGAACTTCTTTAACTTGTGGTTCTACATTGATGTTGGTTAATCTTGCGGTGCACCAAGCCATGGAGTTTGAGATCTTACCATCTCTCGAATCTTCTTCCGAAGGTCAATCTCACGTCGACTAGCATCATCGCGTTCTTTCTCCACACTAGCTAGGCGGGAGAGCAAAGAACCTTCTAGTGTATGCCAGTTTTCACTAGCGGCAGCATATTGAGTTTGCAGAGTCTCGATTTGACGCAAAAGTTTGGCTTGCGTCTCCCCCGTTGCCCCCGATGAAGCTTCCTCGGCGCGGGAGCGGAGACTTTCCATCTTGCTTTCTAAGACGGACTGTTCGCCTTTCAATTCAGCCTCAAGTATTCGAGCCCTTTCGTTCTCTTGCTTTATCCTCTCCTTCAACTCGGTAATTTCCCTCTTGGACTTTTCTTCAGTGATGTCGCGCTCGATCTTCAGGCTGCATAGCTCCTCGTCTAGCTCCGTCGCCCGTTGCTTCTCCAGATCTAGGGCATCAGAGTTCGCCTTTGTCTCAGCGGTTTCGGCGCGGGAAACCGCACGACTCAATTGCGATTTGATCTCTTGGACAGTCTGACCGAGTGCATTGCGTTCATTGGTAACAGCTTCCAAGTCTTTAGTCGACTTTGTTTGGGATGACAAAGACTCGGCGGCCCTCCTCTCTGCGGCCTCTGCCCGCTTCGCTCGTGCTTCCGAGTTGACCAAGTCTCGCTCAAGCTTGTCCGTCTTTCTCTTCATTTCAGTCTGAGATTTGGTGTTTTCGGTAAGTTGCTGACGCAATTTTTTGATCACCGTGCGATGGTCCATCTCCGACTTAGACAGCTTCTGCCCTTCTTCGAGAAGCAATGCAATCTTCTCATCTTTCTCTAGGAGCTGCTTTTGCACACTCCCTTGGGTAGCACTTGCTGCAGCATTTTTAGCCGATTCCGCAGCGTCCTTGGCGAGGTATTTCAATTTCGACTGCAATGCATCAATACGTTCAATATAACCATGCAGTTCATCTTGCCATTGAGACTCGGCAGTTTTATGCTCAGCCTGCAAGCGAGCGATATCCGGGTTTTCAGCTTCCACCGGTATCTCTGATGGCGATTCAACGCTAACCCGCGGACTATCGTGCGAAGCAAACTCACTCGGTACCTCATTCCGTTGCGAATCCGACATTTCTTGACTGGATTTGGCCGAGGCCGTTGATGGTTGAACCACGTCTACAGAGCTTCTGGGCGCGGAGTCTGCGACGCTGATGTCCATTGAAACACGCGGTGATACCCCAGAGTCATAGCTTATCCTTGACGAGGCTAATTTAGCTGTACTGTTGTCGTCATTGGGCTGAGAGTCCCTGGGGTCTTCCACCGCACTATTTACCGATGCAACGCTGGAATCAATGTCCATACTCGACCGAGCTCCATTGCTGGGTACTGGACTAGCAGGCGGTGAGACTCGGCTCTGAGGGGACTGGGAAGAGAGATTTGAGGCATTTTGCTTCACCATAGCTCGGGCTAGACGTTCTTGAAGCCGGTCATTTCTTCGCGCGGTCGATGAACTGCGGGAAACCGCTGAAAGATGTTAGCCAGTTCTACTGGTTCGCATAAGTGTTGTGGATTTCATACACGCAACAGGAGCTTTTGTCGGTGGCGCTTCTCCGACTTGAGTTTCAGTGGGCCTTGCAGTAGAGCCGGTCTGATTTCCCTCCTCATCCATCAAGATGTGATCCAGCCGAGACTCGACGCCGGCTACTGCTTGCTGGAAAAAAGAACCCACGCCCCATTTTGGCTTCTGTGTCTGCGAATTCTGCGCCATCGTGGGATAATTACTGTATTGGAAATTGGGAACAGGCTACTAAGCGGCAAATGCCTCGTGTCGCATTCGCATGGGTTCGGTGGGGGCTGCGCTCGGACGTCGACTTGCGAGTATCGTGGGAGACGCTTTCAGAGTCAATTCGATAGCAATTCTTGCTAGATGTGTCGAAGCCTAGGCGGAAATGGCAAGGACTTGCTGCGATGGTGAAATGAGAGAGAGAGTGTGTGTGGCAGGATTTAAGCCGAATTCAAAGTACTAGGCGAGAGTTCCGAATCCGAACAAACATTAAGGCACTGGGCCGATAAGACAGTGAATGCGAGTCAATGATCGGCAAAGAAAAAGACCTATAGAAACAAGTAAGACGATAGAGAAATAGGAAGCCAGAATCAAAATAGAGAACAGAAAACAAAAGTTGAGGCTATGCGTTGAGATACCGTCGGTCTTGGCACAGGCTTCCGTCATCCCCAAAGCTCCCCCGTCTCTCTGGACACACCTCCAGTTTGTATCATTCACAGCCAGCGACACTCCTTTTTTCTGGCTCCAAATCTCCCAGATTACACTCACAATGTCACTGGAGCCACCCACATACCTCAGCTCCCTCCAGAATAACATTCGAGCTCGACCAATTCCGTGGGAGGGTGCCGTCCGAGCGGGCAACATCACCGATGAGCACTTGAAGAAGATCAAGGCGGTGGATAAGGTGCGCAAGGACCAACGCCGCCAGACAGTGGAAGGAGATCTTGCTGGATACACCGATCTGTTGGCCGGCGGTGCACAGGGAAAGAGTGTCTTGAACTCGGCCTCTCGAAGGACCGATATTGTGCAGTATATACTGGTGTTGGCCTCGGACTTGATTCAAGGTATATGATACTGGAGGACCTGAAGCTGAAGAATCATGCTGATCTAATCTTTAACAGATGTGCCTTCTCTGGCCAACTCGCTTGTTTCTCACCCAGAACCGTACAAGCCTTTCCTACCGTTCCTGCAGCACTCGACAAATGCTGAAGACCCCATTCCTCTGCTCACGTCCACCTTCCTCACGGCGCTTGTGTCGCACAGTCTAGTCGCTTCATCCAAACCTGCCCCGCGCGACAACCAGGCTCTCCCTCAGCTCTACACCTACCTCTCCACCTTAACCAAGAATCAGGACAGTGGGCTCCAGGATATTGGTGTCCAAGGATTCTCAGAGCTGCTGAGAACAAGCCGAGCGCGAGAGATCTTTTGGGCGCAACGTCAAGAGACCTTGACCCCCTTGATCGACACTCTTCGAGCTGCGGCTGGGGCGAAAGACAACGTAAGCAACGCAAGCACACTAGGAAGCAGCACTCGCAGCGTCGAGCCAGGCCTCGCCGGTGGCGTTGGCCTTCAGCTTCTATATCGGGTGCTCCTTGTTCTGTGGCAGCTTGCATTCGAGGGCGCCCTCGTTGGCGAGGAACTTCAAGAGTGAGTGATGTGACACCAAGCGTTAGCTTGACTAGCTTGACCCTCTGAGCCCCTACTGACCGACCCCACTCAGGAACTATGAAATTATCCAACTTTATATCCACCTTCTGCGTCTCTCGCCGAAAGAAAAGACCACTCGCTTGCTCGTTGCAACTGTGTACAGTCTTTGCTCCAGCAACCGGACGACTCTGCTGCCCATCGCCGTGTTCCTTCGACTCCCCGCCCTCCTGACCAACTTGGCTGGTCGTCACCTGACTGACCCCGACCTACTCGAGGATCTCAGCGCCCTCTCTTCCATGTTGGAGGAGTACACCAAGACACAGACCACCTTTGACGAATACGCTGCCGAAGTTCAGACGGGCCACCTCCGCTGGTCGCCCCCTCACAAGAACCCGACCTTCTGGAAAGATAACGCTCGACGAATTGTTGAGGAGTCCAACGGCGCTTTGCCCAAGAAATTAGCCGAAATTCTGTCTAAGAGTTGGGAGAACGACAAGCAGGTGCTGGCTATTGCTTGCAGCGACGTAGGGCACTTGGTGAAGGAGGTTCCCGAACGCCGTAGGCAGTTGGAGCGACTAGGCTTAAAGACGCGGGTGATGGAACTGATGGTTGATCAAGATGAATCAGTACGATGGGAGAGCTTGCATGCCGTCGGTGAATGGCTTCGATATACCTTTGAAGGCTGATCCCCGGAAGAGGGGTTTTCTGATATGTTGATGGCTTTCCAGGATGAACATATACTCTGGTTGGCATGTACTGTGTATTTTCTTGCCATAGCGCATACTCGCTTCCTTCTTTTTTTTCGGGGGGATCTTAGAATCATATTCATCTCTGAAATTTCATGGCCCCTAGATTTTGATATCCCAATACTCCAACCGGTGGATCCTGGGATCGACCGCTAAAGAACCCAAGATGTGCAACGATGCAACAAGAGAAGAACACGAATTACCCCTTGATCGCTCTCTATATAATTCCAATGTAATAACTTGAACCCCCTATTGTTGTTCCCCAGAAACCATATTATCCGGGCGGGTTATGTCCGGGGAGCTTTCCATTCCCCCGCAGGAATTCTTCGCCGAGAACATCATCCCACCAACCCATAGCACTCATGTCGAGATCCTTCACAGGTTGCAAGAGATGTAAGGCACGCCGACAAAAATGTGACGAGCAGAGACCGAACTGCGGTCGCTGCCAGACTGCAGGCGAGCAATGCCAATATACAATGCAGTTGCAGTGGGGTGGACGGGCGTTCTCGCGCTCCAGGTTTGGTGCTTGCGTTGGGACAGGAGGCATGCAGAGACTCGGTATGTACTCTATCCCAGAGAGACTTTTTACCTAGTTCTGATCATTCCAGAGTATTCACCAGGGGAGTTCATCTACACCACCAAGACGGCGGCGCAGTCAGCCAGCGCCAAATCCGGATCAGATCTCACTCTGTCGCAACCCGTCGACCCCTTCTCGTCCTTGTCGTCCGGTCAAAAGGCCTTATTACACCATTTTATCAACGATGCCTCTCAAATTACTGCATGCCATTCGGGAATGCAGCAGGACATATGTCGCATGCTGATCCCAATGGCTCTTCAGACCCCCTCCTTACTCTACGCTACCACGGCCCTATCGGCGATCCATATCCAAGCCCTACACAACCAGTCGGAGAGCGTAAAATCAGCACCGGATATCGCCCGTTTAATGGCTCTCAGTCTTGAACATTTTCGAACAGAGTTGCAGAATCCCTCATCCAAGGACCCCGAGGCGTTGGTGGCGACGGCTCGGACGCTCTGTCTAGCTGAAATCCATTCTGGGGCGATCAACCCGAACTCGTGGAGAGCACACATTGACGGGGCGAGGGCATTGATGAGGGCATCGGACGCCGCTGGTGAGGATTCCCTGCGGTCTACAAGCGGTTTCCGGCGGTATTTGGATCGCTGGTACTGGTCGATCGTGTCGCTTACGGCACTGACGGGCAATGGTCCACCCATTGGGGATATTTCGGACTTCGTCTCGTCTGACTTGATGGGGTTAGGCGGGTCTACTGATTACTTAGATGACTATTGGGGTTTCAGCGTAGACCTTGCGGCTGTCTTTAGGCAGATCGGTGCTGCTGCTTGGCGAAGTCATGAAATTGAGAAGGCCACCCAGGGATTTGTTGCCGGAGAGATTGACGGCAGTGTTGAGGATGATGCTGCATCCTTGGAGTTCGCAATTCGACAGCTCATGAATCGTGACTCAAACTCGCAGCCCTCATTTTACCCTAGGGCCGCAGAAGGCTTGTCTACGGAGAGCGCACAGCAGCTCCTGCTATGCAATGAGGCATTCCAACACAGTGCGCTTATCCAGATTCATCGACGACTTCGGAAAACACCAACTACGTCGCCAGAAGTGCAGCAGTCGGTCCAGCGTATCCTAGAGTGTACTGCGCAGATCGGGCCATCGTCGGGTCTTTCGCCTTGGGTGATGTTAACGACACCAATCTTTATTGCGGGCTGCGAGGCGCGTGGTCAGGATCGAGATACAGTTAGGCAACTGCTGTCGTCCTTGCATGACACTATTCGTGTGCCGAACGTTCTTCAGTCATTAAGATTCCTCGAGCAGTATTGGTCTAACAAACTCAGCGAGGAAGAAGACTGGAGCCATTTCCTCGGTAAGAACTTCTCTTAGCCGTTCCTTTGTTCATGCTAACATCTCATCCATAGAACGAATGCAGTTTGATTTCATCCCATACTAGGGAAGGACCAATCGGCGAGAGCCTATTATGCCTCATGTGCAATGATTCATGGTTTCTTTTTGTTTTGTTTTGTTTCTTTCAGTTCGGGTTGTATACCTTATCTTCCTTTGTTACCACTACAACTTTTTAGCAGGGAGGTTTGGCGTGCATATGTACCTTATTTAAGCCCTGGCGTTTGGGGGCTGTGACAAGTGATAAATATTTCTTTGTAGCAATTATACACAAAATGTCTTTTATTTTTGAGGCTAACACTTTTCTTTGCATTCACACATGTGTTAACTCGACTAACTACCTAGGTAGTTACCTAGGTAGTTATGTGTGCAAGACGGAGCTAAGTAGGAGATAACTATAACGGAACTAAGCTAATCTCCGGACATAACCTTCTAAGGTTCCATGTAAATGACACGATGAGTCAGACCTTCCAAGGTTATCACCAAGTTAATTCTAGAATATACGATATAACCTTATAGATTATAACCTTATACGCGGTCGGGATCGGGTGAATTACTTACACGAGATAGGTCTTCTTTGATTGGTGCGGACTCCGAACCATGGATTGGCGTAATATCCGATTAGCGATCATTAAATCCATTTGCTTTGGAATCAAGCATTTTTCAAGATAGATTTTTCAAGGTAGATTTTTTAGGTTGATTTCTCATTTTGATTCCTAATACTTGTATTCCAGTGATGACTAAAACATTTCGAATAGTGTAGGGGGATTTCTTAAGAAGTATATAGTCTGTCTATTCCACCTCAATACATATATATCATCCAATTCAGTATTCAACTATAGCATCTAAGGGTGTCTGTTCTAGTTCCTACCAAATGGAATCTGCCATTCGAGATGCCCCATTCGGGCAGCTTGTTCGTCTTTTGACAAACAATAAATACTTCCAATATCCCGAAGAAAAGCCTGACTTCAAGCTTCCCGACACATGGCTCCAATTGTTGAACTCTAGCGATGAAAGCAACGAAAAGAAAATCATCCAACAAGATTTTAACCGAAGCCATGAATACAGCGAGCCTTTAAGCCGAGCTTCTACCCAAACATCCCTACAATTCACCGAAGCTCGTCTCGAGGCCGACGAACAACATGAGATTGAAAAAGTCAAGTCTATCCCCATCGCCCCCGGGAAAACAAAAGACGGTTCCATCCTTGTTGATTGGTACTATACCGATGATTCAGAGAATCCACACAACTGGTCCAATCGCAAGCGTGCTCTCATCACTACCATGATCTGTCTATATACCTTTGTGGTGTATACCACTTCTGCAATCTACACCTCCTCAACAGAGGGTGTCATGAAGGAGTTCGGCGTGAGCACCTTGGTCGCTACTTTGGGGTTGTCACTTTATGTTCTGGGATATGGTATCGGACCCTTGGTCTTCTCTCCACTGAGTGAAATCCCCGTGATTGGACGCAATCCAGTCTACATCGTCACAATGTTCCTCTTTGTGATCATCTCCATCCCAACAGCCTTGGTTGACAATTTCGCTGGTCTGATGGTGCTACGCTTTCTACAAGGGTTCTTTGGCTCGCCCTGTCTTGCATCTGGAGGTGCTTCCATTGGAGACCTGTATAGCCTCATGGCCCTGCCTTACGCCATGATGGCCTGGGTTTCTGCAGCCTACTGTGGACGTAAGTTTCTTCCCACCCCATATATACCCGATATATGTCTATATACTAACTAATTTTCACAGCCGCTCTCGGCCCTCTTCTCAGTGGCTTCGCCGTCCCCGTCAAAGGTTGGCGCTGGTCCCTCTTCGAATCAATCTGGGCCTCCGCCCCAGTTTTCATCCTGATGTTTATGTTCCTCCCGGAAACCAGCAGCGCAACAATCCTGCTCCGACGTGCCGACCGTCTCCGTAAAATTCACAATAGCAACCGCTTCATGTCACAATCCGAGATTGACCAGCGCAACATGCGTGTCTCAGCCATTGCCATCGACGCTCTGATCAAGCCCATGGAAATCACCATCAAGGATCCCGCCGTCCTCTTCGTCCAGATCTACACAGCCATCATCTACGGCATCTACTACTCCTTCTTCGAAGTCTTCCCTTTGGTCTACCCAACCGACTACAACATGAACCTCGGCCAGATTGGTCTAGTCTTCCTGTGTATCCTGGTTTCATGCATTATCGGCATTGCCATCTACGCCAGCTACATCCACTTCTGGACAAATCGTCGCATCCGTAGCTTCGGCCTCCCCGCAAATGAGGCTTTCCTTATTCCTGCCCTGCCTGCATCTTTTGGTCCCACGATTGGTCTTTTCGTCTTTGCCTGGACGGCTCGTGCGTCTATTCATTGGATTGTGCCTACCATTGGTATCACCATCTATGGTGCTACGGTTTTCATCGTCATGCAGTGCATCTTCATTTACATCCCCCTCACCTACCCCAAATACGCGGCTAGTCTGTTCGCTGCGAATGATTTCTTCCGCAGTGCGCTTGCATGTGGCAGTGTGTTGTTTGCGCATCCGCTGTTTGGGAACTTGGGTGTTGCTCGAGGTGTCAGTCTTCTTGGTGGACTGAGTGTCATTGGTATCATTGGTATCTGGCTGCTTTACTTCTATGGTAGCAGGCTTCGTGCTTTGAGCAAATTTGCTATCTCGGAGGAGGTGGAATGAGTGTATTTTTTGGTTGCCTATTTGCGACTTTTTAACGACAAGTTATTGCAGGATATTTGTTCATAGGATATGGTGACAAAGAGCGGCGTTATATTTAGCGACGAACGTATAAATTGGCATGAATAATGAGAATATTAATACATAATACTCGAAGAATTTCTCTTCCCTTAAAAGTTGTACTTTTCTCAAGCATGGCTAGAAGAAATGGTCAGACAAGTAGCCACATGCTTTGGGTCTCTTCTGTGATTAGACGGCACTTGGAACGTCAGTGCATAGGTTGGAACTACGAGGCGGATATAGGAATAAATTTTAGAAATGGATCACTTTGAAACGATTATCTTAGAAAAATGGAATGAGACCATAATTTGCCGATCTCTAACTTGTTTCTATCCACAAAGAGAGGTAATATCCTCGGGGACATAGGGCTTCAGGATATCAATCAGCTCTGAAAGAGGGACCCAGTCAAGAAGACCGTGGATGCTTCGTATGGGATGGCCACTATACAAAACCCGGGCGTAAAAGGAGTGCCCGTCCTTCCTATCTTTAGTCTCCCTGTAAAATTGTTAGTGAATCCTAGCGTATCAGAAGACAGTTCGACTTACCAAACTTCGAATGCGATGTTGGATGCCATAGCGGGCCAGCGAAGCGTCTCGATCCCCAGAGAACCTAGGATAGGACCGATATCCCCATCATGAATAAAGACGTGGCTGTAATCAAGGGAAGACTTCCCGTCCAGGACAGCTTGCAGACGAGAAATGATCTCCCCAATGAACAAGCCCTCGACAACCTGGATGTACTTGACCACATCCGGGTTCGTGCGCCAGTAGTAGTTCCACTCCCAATCGCCAGCACGGAAGACCTCCTCAGCCATCTGCATCGTGACACAGGCCGAGGAATTTGACACACTGCAGGGCAGATCATAGCCGTTGCAAAGACGGCCCTGGAAGTTATCCGAAAAGTGGTCAAAGGTACTCTGCCACGAACTCTCTGTCGCACCCAACATAGCGCCCAGCTTCGAGCGCAACTCCTCGGTGACAGCTAGGTGCTCTTTCCACTGTGTGGTAGACTGCAGACTCGACAGAGTCGAGCTGACAGCAGGGCAAGCGTATCCCTCGTTAACGGTATCGACAGATGATACCATCTGGTGCAAGGGTAGAGCTCCCTTGTAGTCAGGCCACAGGCCGCGCAGGACGGCACCAGCCGAGGCCTGGGTGAGAGCGGACTCGCTGGAGCGGAACCAGACGCGGTGGCTTGGCTTCTCGGGGATCAAGCCAAGCTTCTTGCCGTAGACGCCCCACAGGTCCTTGCCATGTTGATATCCGTCCTGGACCCCTCCGATGGTGATTTGGGGGTACTGACAGGTGCCGTTCACGCTGGGTGTGAAGGGGTTGGTGGGGTCCTGGTATGTCTGTGCATACATTGGCATTGGTTGGATGCCGCTTGCGCTGTTGGGGCCTGCGTAGAGATACGGACGCACATCATCGCAGTGATATGCCTGGTTCTAGGGAAAGGAGTTAGTTTGGGCCGAGAACCGACCTCGGGATCTGAGGGTTTCTCACCTCCCCACCTGGGAGAATGTTGTATGGAGTTCGCCGCTGGTGACGTTGTAGATACTCCAGGTACACAAGCTTTCCCTTGGTTGAGCCGTTGGCTAGAGCTTCGGGGAGCTCGTACTCCTCCGAACGAGGATGCGGCATAGAACAGTAGTCATAGGTGCCGTAGGGGCTGCCCCTAGCTGGTCCATGTTTTGGAGCTTCATAGATACCACCATATGTGCCAATCGAGCTGTTACTGATGTATGATGTATTATTCAGCGTTGGAGGATAGAAGGTGTCCCCGGGGGTTTGACCCAGCACTGAGACCGCCACGGAAAGCAAGACGAGGCTGCGCATAACGGAGATAGGTTTAAGTGAGAAAAACCAAGTCTGTCGAAGACCTTCGAATATGTAAATTTCCGAACTGATTGCTAGCAAACCCAAGACGAGAAACAAAATGAAGCTCCACCGCAGTCGCACCAGTCGCGACCTGGCAATCGGTGCACGTGGCGTCGTCAAGCCAACCTGGGGAGTGCCATCAGCCATGTGTCTCTACATAGTATAGCCGACTTTGGGCTAAACGACTATTGTGAACATCGAATGTGGATTATGAAGCGATCGACAATACGTTTCCCCGTTTCCCCGTTTCCCCGATGTTTCCGGCAACTGTCTCGGGTCTTGGCGTCGATACCCCCTGCAGAATATTGACTGGGCTCCTTTCAGCAAGCACTACATCTGTATATATAACGCTACCTAGTACATATTTAATATTTGTTTATCTCTTGACTGAAATCTGACTATTTACAAAATGAGATGGACGGCCTCAGTTGTTATGACCATGGCGCTTCCCCTGGTGTCTGCGGCCTTAGCGGATTTCGCGCTTCAGACAGTACTTGACAATGCCACACCAATATTTGGATCATACAAAAAGATCGCTGGGGGGAAAGTGGAATGGATGAAGAGTTACCCTGACGAAACTTTGCTCGTTCATATGAACATCCCTGGAACCCATGACAGCGCCACGTGGAATTACACCCAGGCGACGCAAGATGTTATGCGGGGCATCACAGATCTCAACAAGGTTATTGTTCCGGAGCCAGAGGCACTGCGGTGCCAAGATTTGCCTTTGATCGATATGCTCGACATGGGAATCCGGGCATTTGATCTGCGGTATGCTTTCGATCCGACAAACTCCACCCTCATCTTCTACCATTCACAGGCCCTGCTCTCGCAGACAGCCACAGTCGACGATGTGCTGTTTGGGTTTTATCAGTGGCTGGATGACCACCCCTCGGAGACCATTTTCCTTTCATTCCAGTACCAAAGCTCGACGGCCCTGTACGCCTCCAACAACGCGGCCGTACAGCTGCAGCTCTACAATATCCTCACCTCCCCCGTGGCGCGGCATTATTTCATGCAAACAAAAGACGAACTAGGCACCCTGGGTGACTCGCGTGGCAAGATCAATCTCATGCGTCGATTTGATCTGGACAAACTTCCGGATTCTTACACAGCCGCACTTCCCGGCCTGCACTTCTCGCCTAGTCTCTGGACAGATAACGGCCCAGATATCACCCTGGAATACAATATGGCCCAAAGCTTGAGCGCCTACATAGAAGACTACTACCAACCGCTCACGCCGGTAGGGTCCAGTGCGGTTGAGAACATCAGGTGGAAATACAACGCCACAGTGGAACACATCCGCAAAGCCACTAGCCAACACCCGGATAGTCTCTTCTGGACCTGGGCGTCTAGTAATAACATAGAAAACAATCCTCCCGATTGGCCTCGTATCATGGCACTGGGAAATGGAACTGACTATACGCCGGCTGGCGCGGTTAACCAGCAGCTAGTACCTTTCCTGGAAAGACAGAAAGGCAAGCGAGTGGGGATTGTGATGTTCGATTTCTTTGAGCAGCCCTCCGACCTCATCGATACCTTTTTAGATTTGTGAAATACATAAATGAGATATTTTTTTGGCAGCATAGTCAACTACCAAGCCAACATGGGAATCAATCAATTGCACAATCGCAGAGCCCGAGGAATTACTTATATCTTCCTAGTCTATCTATGCTCTAAATCCCACGATTGGAAGTTGAGACCCCAGGTAACGCTCTAAATCAAAATGAAGAGAAAGCACAGCACCTTCACAGTATCATATATCAATGCCTCACCACACCCTAGATCAGATCGCAATGCCAATCAAATCAGACACAATGCCCTTGTCCTCAGCTGATGTCAAACTCTCCACCAGGCCCGTCCAGCTCGGTATATTGATATTGCGACCAGAGAGAAATCCCATCTTCCAAGTTTCCCACTTCGGTGTATCCAAAGAGCACATGAGGCTGGCACAGCGGGCGAATTCATGTTTCTCAAGGATGTCCTCCTGATCAAGGCAGATGCATCTCCATGCATCATCCACCTTATGCACATACTCCCATAGTATCTTACTTAGCTCATTAGTCAACTAGTATAGAGCGGATGTTGGAGATTCCACCCTTCAAGATTTCATTCTGGAGGTGTCGGATTGTTAACTCGAGCGAATCCAAATGTGAATCCTGGGGCTCGAAGTATGGCCTCATCATGACTAACGGGCACTGTCCTTCGTCCACTCCCTCAGTTGATAGATGGTAATGGTAATTTAGCTAACTAGAGGACAGGCAGTCCCAACGTCGTATGCCCCGCTCCGGGACTGGAGCCTCACCGCCTCCGTGGAAGGACTCGCCCATACACACACACACTCTCTCTCTCTCTCTTCAACAGGCTTGCCATCAATGCCTCCACGTCGCCGTCCCAGGATATCTCTCTGGGCCCGTTTTTGAACGTGGCTTCACTACGCACACTCACCCCTCCGATTACGTAGTAGTCTCATCCGACTTCAGCACAAGTACCCCTTGCTCACACTCTTGCGCATGTTCATCCCCTATCCGTCCTGGTTCTTCCCAATCCCCGGTCCATTTTCTCCCCGTGCACTTATCGAAGGTACAAAACACAATGCGGGTATAATTACATCTCATTTTGGCGACATCCATAAGCTCCGTGCTATTCCTATCTGGCGCATGCGCGACACACCTTTGCGATCAGTTTACCGGCTCTATGAGCTCCACCTCGCTGATCATTATGAGCTGATGGGATGGGAGACGGAATACTTCTTTTATCGGCAAGACTGGAAACTACGAGACATACTAAACCCGATAGATCCTGATCCACTTCGTCATGCGATTGTCGCTTCCATTGTTGATAAATTACACGAGGCAGTCAATTGGAGACTGAGTCTGGGTCTGCGGAGAAAGAGAGAGCACATGCATCGTGAAGAAGATGGAGACCCATGGCCACCTTTCACTCCGGAGGAACTTCCTTATTGGACAAAGAGCGTGGCCCCTATTGATAAAGATCTATTGAGGCTGTCAGTGCCAGCGGAATCCTTGGATGCGGAGGGAAATTTAGTGTTGGGAGCTAATGGAAAAAGTCCTAATTTGCCCGGCGTAATATTATCACAAACACAGGTTGGCTCTATACTATCTAGTCAATTGGACATTGTAGATGGCAGAATTGTCGATAGTGTAAAATTTGAGATATTAATAGCCACTGGTCTAAAGAGGGCTGCTAACATTCCAATGGAATCTCCCGTCGCTGCTCGGCTATAAGATATTAGTTTGGTTGTGACACAACGCTGATTGGCCACTATATATCCTACTCCGGCAACAGACCAGACTCACATGGTCACATCGACCACCTAAAGAGATCACATCTTGTTCCATCTCAACGTCATGTCTTCGCATACTGATAATTCCGGTCGGATAAGAGCCCGACAGCGGGCCAAAAGAGCATGTGAAATGTGCAAGTTGCGAAAGCGGAAATGCGACGGTCATGAGCCATGCACTTGCTGTATACGATACGAGTATCAATGCAGCTTCAAGCCCTCTGCACGGGAGAAAACGACCGTCTCTAAGTCCTCGACACTGTGCGACGAACCGGAAGTACAAAAGCTTTCCGAACGAGCTGGTGCTAACCAAGCACACATGGAAGCCAATTCAGGCACTGCTTTCCCTCATCTCCTGGGTATGAAAATGAATCCACAGGGCGCACCTAAGGTGCACGGCTTTAGCTGGAATTTGGGTCTACGGGATGAACCCCTGGAGCCCTCTACCAATATGACAGATCTGATCTCAAGGGATGAGATGGAAGACCTGGCCAACCATTATTTGAAGAAGATACATCCTGTGTATGGGGTCCTGGACTCTGAAGATTTACGGCAAAGGATTGGCAATAGGTGGCATGATCCTACGACCATAGCTTCTTATGACTCTATTCTCTGTGGTGTGGCGGCATTAGGCTCCTTGTACTCGGGCCAGAAACAACATCCCAAGGAAATCGCACTGGTACAATGTGCGAAGGAACAACTCGAAACAACCAAAACTTCAAAAACAATTCTCCTTCATCATGCGAGTGCTTGGATATTACGAACGATATATCTCAGGTCCACTAATTGCCCTCATGCGTCGTGGATGGCCAGTTGTTCCACGATGCACATCATCGAGGCCATCGGAGCTCATCAAGACCCCGAACTGGCATCCTTAGTGTATTCTGACACTGCAGACATCAGTTTCAATGAAGAAACCCGCCGCCGACTCTTTTGGGTAGCCACGGTTTTAAATTCGTGGATTTCCTATGAGTACGGCCGATCGCGCGTGACCCCACGAGGTGTCTCCTGCAAGCTCCCCTTACCTCGAAAGGACGACTTTACCACAGACCTCATAAGCCTATATCAAATCTCCGAAGGGCTCGACCCAGACCGTGACAATAAAGCTTCTGCCTTCGAAGAGGCTCTGGCCCGCGTTGAGGGCCTTGCACTATCCCACGATGCTTTGATCCTTTCCCAAAGTAATTTGGCGCTCACGATATACCGTCGGCTGCGAATTTTGTCTGTGAATATATCGAATGACGTTCTTGCCCGCGTTATGCGATTTGGGAACCAGGGTCTTGATGCCGCAACAAGACTAGCCGAAGATCGCTGTCCGTGGTGGCATGTTGCCAACCTACCATTTCAATTTATCTGTATCCTGCTGGCTATTGATACAAGGGAGTCGCTGTCACATATTGGTCCTGCGCTATGCTCGTTCAGGGCTATCACCAGGCATTACAATACACCTACTATCCACACGGCACTGGAGACAATAGAGTCGCTAGTTTGTCTTTTCCAAACCAAAAAAGAACGGGACTCGATTATTCTCAGAGACAGTTTGCAACAAAGAGATGGAGGACCGACTGAGCCAAGTTCCACTACTCCCCAAGCCTTGGACGTTGCTTCTTGGCTGGGAGCGACCGAAAACTTGTCTCTACCTGATGAATTTGACTGGGACTGGAATGAATTTCTAGAGACACAAATTCCTGGTTTTGGCTAACGCAAAATTGGTGCCCAGGGATAGATAGAATACAGATTCACGATGACTTGAGTACATGGTTGAAGGATGTCTGCATTGCGTTTATATAGACCCCCGTTCCATGGATTTATGTAGACAGCATGCGATGATATTAGGTTTTGATTCTCTTTCCAAACAAAACTAGAAATTAGCATGACTATAGTGTGCTCTCCTTTCTTTTTCCGGTTTCATATAATTTTGGATGGGTAAGTAGGAAAGATCGGGTAAGTCGGGTAAAACGGAAATCGGGCAACGGAAGTAGAAGTAGAAGCAGATATAAATCTGCACTACAAAGGAAAGTAATACGTGAAGCGTCAATATTGAGAATCTAAAAGGATTTGTGCAAACTACGGCTTTCTTTTTGAATTCCATTTTACCCCCTTTGCTTGAGCACGCGCCGCCGACGACCATGCAGTCTTTTCGACAATACCGACGTATGCGCAAGGACTTGCAAGAAAGCATTCAATTGCACGGTCTGAATGCTGCTACGGATTATGCTCATACACAACCAACCAACGATATCCTAGAGGATGTTGATGATGCCAGACTGGAGAAAGGTATCCGTCCACTATCCGCTACACGGAGAATCGTGCTACATGACGGCAAGAGAGTGACAGTCCCTGGCGTTAAACCCCATAACGTATCCGAAACCTCTGAACAATTCGACCCAGAATCACTGTTTATTGTCGGCTTCGATGGTCCCAATGACCAACTCAATCCCAAAAACTGGTCTATGGGACGAAAATGGTCGACATTGGGCATCGTTGGCACTACGGGTATGCTGGTCGGATGGGCTTCATCAATCGACTCCACTGTGATCAAACAAGGACAGGAGGAATACGGGGTCAGCGAGATTGTCGAATCCCTAGCAACAGCGCTTTTCCTGATTGCTTTCGGCATCGGCTCTCTTGTGGCTGCACCCTTTTCTGAGACCGTTGGACGAAACCCAGTCTACATCGTTACGTTGTTCATCCTTATGATTTTTACAATGGCCTCAGGACTCGCACCAAATATCGGAGCCCAACTTGCCTTCCGTTTCCTGGCCGGACTCTTTGGATGTACGCCAATGACCACGTTTGGCGGCAGTATGGCCGACATCTTTGACCCCATCGAGCGCACTTATGCCTTTCCAATTTGCTGCACACTCTCATTCCTCGGACCCTTTCTTGCTCCAATGGTTGGGTCGTTTATTGGCCAAAGCACGCACATCAGTTGGCGCTGGACTGAATGGTGCACGATGATCATGGCTGGGCTAGTGACATCTGCCATCTTCTTCTTTGTTCCAGAAACCTATGGGCCAGTACTGTTGGGGTGGAAAGCGAAACACCTCCGTGAAATCACCGGTGACCAACGTTTCAAGGCGGAGTTTGAATTACGACAGACACCGCTCTTCACTCGGTTGATGCACAGCTGCTCTCGCCCTTTCAACTTGTTCTTTAGAGAAATCATGGTGACGCTCTTTACTATTTATCTCGTCGTCGTTTATATCGTTCTTTTTGGGTTCTTGACGGGTTATGAGTTCATCTTTGGCGACACATATGGCTTCAATCAGGGTTCCGTGGGATTGACGTTTATTGGTATGAACGTAGGTTTCCTGATTGCATTTGCCCTAGTGCCACATGTCTACTTCGCATACAGGAAGAGACTCTCAAAAGCCATTGCGAATGGGGAGAAAACCCTTCCACCGGAGGAGCGGCTTTGGTTCGCTATGTACGGTGCTCCTTGGTTGCCAATCTCTCTTTTCTGGATGGGTTGGACCAGCTACCCCTCGGTTTCTTACTGGTCACCTTTGATAGCCTCGGTGGCTTTTGGATTCTCTGTTCAGGGAATATTTATCTCAACATATCAGTATCTCATCGACACGTATGAGCTTTTCGCGGCTAGTGCGTTGGTGAGCGCCACTTTCTTCCGATATATTGCCGCTGGTGCCATGGTCATCGTGTCAATTCCAATGTACAGCAATTTTGGTGTTCATTGGTCTCTCACGTTGTTAGGATGTATCTCCACCGTGATGACACCCGTCCCATTTGTTTTCTACAAATATGGGCATTTAATTCGACAGCGGAATATAAACAGGGCTTGAGAGGTTGGGAATAATGGTCTGGGGGAATGATCACATTTGTTTATAACAATATCTCAAAGTTACTTCAATGTGTCTTGAGCCACCTCGACGAAGCTAGGAAATAACCTGTGGCCGACAAAACACCGATAGCACCAACAAGCAAAGAAACATTGCCTAACAAGATCTCCTCCTGAGCATGCCTCACTTTTGTAGCAATTTTGCCCATGACACAATCTCTACCAGTTCCCTCGGCAATATATTCCTGCCACGTCACCTTAGAAAGTTCACGATGATAATCAATCACAGTCCCAGACCAATTATTGGTTATGACCCCGTCATCTCTCTTATACCAACTGTTACAGTTCGGATCTGCGAAGGAGGTACGTCGTAGAATAGCCTGTATCCTATCGTTGTAACTTTTCAATACGCCAGGTTCTGGCTTAAGAGACAGCGTCTTTCCTTGCTGGTGGGCTTGCATCACTTCCCCAAATAGGGTGTTCAGATATGCTGACTGTGCTTCGATCATGAGGATGATGGAGTTGTGCCCTTTTAATTAGTTAGATGAATGAAACCGGGATGTTATTCGGAGATAAGTTCTCACCAAGATTTGTGTTGGGACCATAGAACATTCCAAAGTTGGGCAAGTCCTCGACTGTAACACCGTTAAACGCAGTTGCTCCATTCCTCCAGATATCCTCCAAGGAACGGCCATTTGCGCCATAAATCCGGATCGGATGCATGAACTCCACAGTTTTGAAACCGGTAGCAAGAACTATCAGGTCGTGTTCTTGTTCGTCTTCTCCATCAACTTTGATACTGGAGTTTGTAATACCTGTGATGCCCCGTGTCTCCAAGAGGACATTTTCACGAACGAGTGTGGGATAATAATCATCTGTAAAAAGGACTCGTCTGCACCCCGGCGCATAATTGGGTATCAGTTTATCCCATAGCTCCGGCTGGTCAGCCAGTTGAGATTTCATCATGTCGGTACACATGGTCCGAAGCATATGGGAAATGTCCGAATCTCCATCTGTGATACCTGCATAAAAGCCTTCACGAAATTCCATTTGAAGTGCACGTTTACGCCACTTCAGAGGTGGAACCCACCTGAGCAGGGTCTTTTGAAGGGTAGATACTGGTTGATCTAGGCGAGGAATGAGCCAGTTTGGCGTCCGCTGATAGATAGTGAGATGAGAGGCAACCCGGGCAACTTCAGGGGCAATCTGAACAGCGGTTGCTCCTGTAGAATTGGTCAGTATTGTATTTTGTATATAGGAGTTTTGTCTCTTTCTCTGAGTGCGCACCGTTGCCAATTATTGCGATCCGCTTTCCTGTCAAATCATAAGTCCAATCCCACCTAGCAGAGTGCATTATCTTCCCTTGAAAATCCTTTAGTCCTGGGATGTCTGGAGTTCGGGGTAAATTGAGTTGCCCGACAGCAGAGACAAGGAAATCAGAGTTCAAAACGTATGAGCTTGAGTACTCGCTGTCTTTCTGGCCTGATACCACGACGCTTGTCTTCCATTTGGACTCGATGTCATCCCATCGGGCCTCCTCTACGGTGGAATTGAATCGAATATGTTTGTAGAGTCCATATTTCTCTGCAACGCCAACGAGATACGCCTGGTCGATACACAAATCAGCAATGACTCGGATCGAACAATGCAGGTCGAGGGTCACATATATTACTAACATGTATTTCTTCTTGTCCGGGATATCCTCTTGACCAATTAGGATTCTGTTCAAAGGAATAGCTATAGAGCGAACTCCAGACTAGACTTCATCAGTTGCGGTCATTGCGCATGTAGAGTAATTCTTACCATCACAACAGCAGCCAGGATACTTGTTGTCATTCCAAGTTCCGCCTACGCTGCTACTTCTCTCGAGGATAACGAAGTTCCGGGTTTTATTCCGTTTGATCAAATCGATCGCCATGCACATTCCTTGAAGAAGGGTTAGTGAAATGTATTTTACCTTGGAGGACTTAGCATACCCGATATGCCGGCGCCAATAATGACTACAGTCGCATTGGTAAAGTCTTTGTTCCTCACAGGGAGACGTGTGTTACTCGATGCCACCATTATGGATGAGGTTGACTATGCACTTGAGAGTTGACAAAGTAAATTTAAATTCTGGGCAGCAGCCCAGAATACAATCAACAGGTTCCCCGCAAGATTCCTGAAACAATAAATATGTACAAAGTACGACTACGGACTACTGATCATTCAATCACCGGTATTACCGAGGCTAATAACCCTTGGTTGATGCATGTCTTATGCAACTCCCACCACAGATCATGCACGAACTGCAAATAATCACCCTTACTTTTTGTTTTGAGCCTTTTCTTTAGCAATTAAAGAAGACGATTTGGATAATTTTGGAAGACATGCAAGGCTGAATATGCTGAGTAATGGCATGGCTGGAATGCACAATTCAAAATTATCATACAAGTTTGGGAGGGTTAACTATGAGATGAGGGGAAGCTGTTCATACCGAGTACCGAGGCATGCAGCATTCCCGCGACGACTAGGGTGAGTTTCGCCTATCCTCTGGTGCTAGCCCCGGAAATCCTCCAGAATAGTCAAGGGAGTTCAATTCCTTCTCTCTCTGCTGTCTGCAAGATGTATTGCTTGACCTGGATAAGCAACACATAAGAGTTAGCCATTCTGATCTAAATGTATAGCTAATTCCGGCCGGGGACTTGCCTTGTCGTCTGGAACTAGCTCAATCGCTAGTCTACCGTCACTGTCTCTCTTTTCTGCTTCTGCTCCAGACTTCAACAATAAGATGGCGGCAGGTCCATGTCCCTCAGAGATAGCGTGGTGAAGTGCGGTGAATCCATCCCCATCAGTTGCATTGACAGGACTCCTACCCTCTTCCAAGAGGGTTTTCAAAATAGGCACAGATCCTACTGCGGCTGCTCTGTGCAGGGGAAGTTGACCACGTCTATCCTTGACTCTGGCGCTACATTTATTGGCAAGCAATGTGCGGACGGTGGAAATATTGGCCTTGGAACTTGCGAAGTGGAGCGCATTCTACTAGATAGTAAGCTCATGTACACTCAATAGCCAAGTCGTTGTATCGGAAGGCTGACCTGTCCAGTGTTACTTTTGATAGAGACATCAGCTCCCTTTCGCAGTAGTAGGTCGATCGTTGCGTCGCCTGCGGCATCTTTTAGGCTGGCTGCAATCATAAGAGGTGTCCAACCGGATCCATCCTATGCCGATTTAGCAAAGTTATATGAAAGGGCGCAGTCGATGTTGAAAAGATGAGGGAAATTATCTGCGGAAATAAATCAGTGATACCCACTTCTACATCTGGGTCGAAATCCTTCATAGCGACTAGCAATTCCACGACCGGGACACGGTTGTAAGCCGCAGCCCAGTGGATTGGAAGACGTTCATCATCATCTTTCACGAATGCAGATTTTTGGTTTGCCTGTTTCAATAATTAGCTTTGTTCTCGGAGAGCAAACTGATCTTGCGGGGCAGTCTCGGCCCCAGGTGGAGGACAACTGACATTGAGCAACGACTCAACGACCTCGTCTAATGAAATTTATTAGTACATCGTACTATTCAGCAAAGGTTCAAGCTCTTACTTCTTCCTTCTCGAGCAGCCTCGTGAAGGGCGAACTTCTGATCGGAATCCATGGTGACTTCGTTGGAGGAAGAGGGATATTGCGATAAGAGCTGCGATAAGCCAGGATGACTGAGTCAGCAATGTTGAGCGCCGATCTCGATCTCGCAGCGAGGACGTCGTAATAAAATTGTCAACAAGCTCAATGATTTTATCCTCAGGAAAATAGAGATCTAGCTTTAGTTGAGAGATCTTGCACATGGAATATACAAATTATCTATAATTGTTCTTATTCTTTGTGGCTCTACGTGAGGTGTGAAATCTGCCCTGAGCTATTACCTTTGTACCTGTGTTCTCATACAAAAGCAACATCCGGTATGTACTCTGTTGTAGATATTCAGATATCTAGTATGTCCCTAGGTACCTAGGTAGGTAGAACTGATGACCTGAAATAAAAACACTTCCACCTCCCAAAGCCTGTCGAATTATGTTGTATACCAAATTCCACCGCCCTGTAGCCTCACCGCCCTTTTTGGACTGGGCATAATGTTGGTCAATGTGGTGCCTCAGGCACAAACACCCGTTGCAACTTCGATCCAAAGATTCATGCACATCCTTGGACCATCTTCAACCATACCTTGTCTCGCAGCTGCTAGAGAGGCAGCATCGGTCTTCAATCAACTGTGCTTCTAAATCTGGTACCTAGACTGAACATTCGGACTCGATTGCGGTCACAAACCTCCCGCAGGCTTTTTTTTTCATCGCGCGCACCATCGGGTCGTGATTCTTGAAGCTCCTGTCCTTCAAAGAAGACCAATTCATCTCACTTTCCCCCTCATCACTTCTTTGCGCACATAATGGACTACACCTCACCCCAGTCCCCAGATGACGCCGTGCGCATGTCTGCAAAACGGACCGCCGAACTCTTCGGTCCTGAATACCTGATGGTCACACCTTCAACTCTTACAGACGGCTCAATCGGCGTTTCCTACCGACGAAAGGCGGAGTACGAAGATATTACCGAGCTACCACGAGCTCTCGCAGAGAAACAGGCGAAGGCTACGGCCGGCCGGACAAAACGGCCGAAGATCCAGGCACAGACACCCGCAGACGGCAGTGGCTCATCCATGTCGCTTGTGAGGCGGCCATCGGGCACGGGGGCGGGAGCAGCTGCTGGCGATGGCCTGCCTAAGAGTTTGGTCCAGAGACCATCGGCTACTCAGCAACAGCGGCCCGAGTGGCACGCGCCTTGGAAGCTGATGCGCGTCATTTCGGGACACCTTGGATGGGTGCGGGCTTTGGCAGTGGAACCGAACAACCAGTGGTTTGCTAGCGGAGCAGGAGATCGGACAATCAAGATTTGGAATTTGGCGACGGGCGCATTGCGACTCACTCTCACCGGTCACATCTCCACCGTCCGTGGCTTAGCGGTGTCACCCCGGCATCCATACCTTTTCTCGTGCGGTGAGGATAAGATGGTCAAGTGTTGGGATTTGGAGACCAACAAGGTCATTCGACACTACCACGGTCATCTCAGCGGTGTGTACACACTGGCCCTTCACCCTCGTCTCGATCTGTTGGTCACGGGTGGTCGTGATGGTGTGTGCCGAGTCTGGGATATGCGTACGCGGAGCAATGTACACGTTCTCAGCGGACACAAAGGTACTGTCGCCGATATCAAATGCCAAGACGCCGACCCTCAAATTATCTCCGGCTCCCTAGACTCCACAGTCCGGTTGTGGGATTTGGCCGCTGGTAAGAGCATGGGCGCCCTGACACACCACAAGAAGGGTGTTCGCAACCTCGCCATTCACCCCTCCGAGTTTACATTTGCCAGTGCCAGTACTGGCAGCATCAAGCAGTGGATGTGCCCCAAGGGCGATTTCATGCAAAACTTCGACGGTCAGAACTCTGTCATTAACTCTCTCGCCGTCAACGACGAGAACGTTCTCTTTTCTGGTGGTGACGACGGTTCTATGTCCTTCTGGGATTGGAAGACTGGTCACCGCTTCCAGTCTATGGACACCACCGCACAGCCCGGCTCTCTTGAAGCCGAAGCTGGTATCATGGCTTCTACCTTTGATCGTACCGGTTTGCGTCTTATTACGGGCGAAGCTGATAAGACCATAAAAATCTGGAAGCAGGACGAAGAGGCTACTCCCGAGACTCACCCTCTGACTTGGGCCCCGACTCTCGGGAGACAGCGGTACTAGAGGGATGACCAGCATCACTGGCATTCGTACCCTCCGTTCCGATTTCTCAATACCCTGTATTCATTTTCTTTCTTGCCATCAAGTTCTCGTTGGCACTATGTGGAGTTGAGCGCGGTCTGTGGAAGGCCCTTGATTTTAAATTTTTCAAACATGTATCGGGAAGAATTTCCTCGGAAAGGTTCGTTTCATGTCTCTGAAACAAAAAGAGTCCTAACGTTTTGTATGATACAAACCCCAATTGAGCCAAATGATACCCTTGGCAATTGACCTGGATGAACAACACACGTACAACTAGCCTTTACGATATAGAGTGCAAGACACAGCTGGACTGAAAGGGTATCATATGCAAAATATTGTGCGATATTACACTAACTCCAAATAATGCGTATCGTACCAAAACACCTGAAAGAAAAACCCTCACCATCACTGCTCAATACCCATACCAAAGCCTTTAGCCTCGGCATCCTCTCTGAAAGCAGACCTGACATCTTCGGCCGCAACCCTGAGCCGAACTTTACTACTGCGGTCGCCGCGAGTGGGAATCGTAGTACCCCCAAGCACGCTTTTAGAGCCGGAGCCTTGCTCTAGCGCAAGGATACCGGAGTTCATGAGCGACATGGCTGCATGACCCAGGCTCCGCACGCGAGCACTGGGCCCCCCGCCTAGCAGGAAATCTTTCACACCGGCGCCAGCGGCTCCAGCAACGGCGACGGCCGCGTCAGCGATGCGGCGAGCTTCGTCGAGCACGTCGCCGAATGTAGATTCTGAAATGCCTGTCCGGTGGACGCGGGCGAGTAGGGCAGCAAGGAAGAGCTTTCCTGATAGCGGTAGACAGCGCAAGGACTGCTGGAGTGGAGTTGATGTAGCTTCGTGAATGGCTTGCTTGATAGTGGCGATAGTGACGCGCCCTGGTTGGCCCTTCGCAGGAGGTTTAGCGACGGCTGATTCTCCGGCTGCTTTGGCTGTGATAGCCTTGTTGCGCCGGGCGGGGGTTTTGCTGGGTGTGGGAGGTAATGATTCTGTCTCGTCTTTGGCCTCATCTACGGCAGCAGCCTCGTCGGCTGCCTGCTCGGCGATTTCAACGGCTCGACGGCAGATGTCCAAAGCTCGTCGGGCATCACCGCTAACGGCGGCTACTTTGCGGCTTGCGAATTGGACGGCGTCTGGATCAACGATATTGCCCGGTACACTGGCCAGACGCGTACTGATAATTTCCATTAGATCGGTGTGACGGTATCCCGGAAAGGTGATACGGGTTAAACCGAGACGACTGGAGATCTTGTTGCTTAGGG